CACTCATTCTCTGCTCTACATTCTTATCAAACACCCAACACTCTCAACCATACATCATAGCTGGCTTCACTACAGTCTTGTAGAATTTACCTTTGAGCCTCATTGGAATTCTTTTATCATATAAGACGCCAGACGCTTTTCCTAAATTTTCATACTACGACACATAAGTTTTATGTGTCAATAATTTCCACACTCTCGTATGTTACCTTTACCTTTAAATATCGGCACAACAATACTATTTCTGCATTCACTTAGAATTTTCCCTTCTAATAAGATTTTATTTAAAAGTTCGTTTAACCACCTTATGCCAACACTGCCTAATATTTTCCATACTTCTACTGATACTTCATTTGGTCTTACTGCTTTATTTTTCATTGATGCCACAGTCTCTCATACCTCTTTCTCACTAATTAAAACTACCAGTCCCGCATTCCACGAGATATTCTCTAATGTCATTTTTAGATACTCCTCATTCAGTAATTTTTCAAAATACTCTTTTCACCTTTTTTTCACATCATCATCGCTCGAGAGTACCTTATTATCAACATTTGTTATATACCTTATTTAATGATAATTTTTAGACCTTTTCTCTCTTATCTTTGCAAATCTATAAATTTATTTCTCACCTTCCTTTGCTCCTAGCCTATCATACAACTCATCTTACCTCTTAAACTTCGCCTTACTTACCGCACATTTGGCTTCTTTGCACAAGCGTTTATACTCCATCCAATCTTCTCTCCTTTTGCTCTTCTGCCATACTTTCTAACTTTCTGTGATATTTTTAACATCCTCATTTATCTATAAAATACAATTCTCTTAATCCTAGTATTCATAATATAATTTATTTTGTAGAAATTTTAATACACGATGATTATGAAAATTAACTTAACAAAAAGTCAAGGAGAAGTAACTGCCCCTTTGCCACACTTGAAAACGCCCATGTGTAAATAACTATTATAAAAATTAAAATCCATAAAACAGAAAATTTTCAAACAAGTGAAATTATTTTTACTGCTAAGTAAACATAGCGAAATTTTTGAGAATTTTCCGCTAAAATGTTCACGATTAAAAGTAGTATAATTACCTGTATTTTCCTGTTCTTTAAATTCCATTAATAATGGTGGTTTGAAAAACATTTTTGTTAATGGATGAGTTGGATATGTTATTTGCATTTTTAGTATTGTTTTTCTCTCTGTGTCCATCTTTATATTACAACATATAATTATTTAAATTTATTTAAACATGAACTGTTTAATAATATGCTTTACCTCAATTTGATGAGCTTGATTTTTCATTTTGGCAGCATACGCCTCACGCATTTTTTGTGTTTTTACTTTCTTGTTATGCCATTTGATTTTTTCTAGTTCAGTCCATGGTATAACAGGCTCAGGTATGGTGTTTAAATATGGAGATAGTGAATTAGTTTTTTTTTGTTTTTTTTTTGGTATATTCACATATGCCACTGTTAAAGACCATTAAATTAAAGTTAGTTATAACTTTTAATTGTTTTGTTATGATTTTAATTTTTCCCATACATTTTATAAAACTTTAATCTAAGAAAATAAATTGTTGATAATATTTTTAATAGAAAGTGGCTTATTAAGATAGTGCTAAGTAAGTCAAGATACAGCTCTTAGTTACCAAAAAGTTCTTAATACAAATTTTCCAGAACCTTAATTAAGCAAGGACTTACGTTCTTTATCTGGTACAGGCTCACTAAGACAGTATTCAAGTTTCTTGATTAGACACGGTAATGATAAATAAACTATACTTGACATCAAAATTCGTTCTTGTGGTAAATAAATTAATGGATTATTATTACCTTGGAAAAATAAAGAATATTAAAATTAGTTTAATTGATTATATAGTTGACATAAAACTAATGTTATATATTAATAAAATAGTTTTTAAAAACTATTTTTCCACAAATAATGTATTTACCAAAACTTTTTGTTTCGATACCACATTTCTCATCAAAGTATTTTTTTATTTCTAATAAAAAGTTTACTGAATACAATTTGCTCGATACAAATGCTTGTTTAACAATAAGGTCTGGAACAAATGCTGTAATTCCAAGCATTTTAAGTGCTTTCTTGGTGCGCGATGACGTTTTTTCTTCATAATCATGTTTTAAATTTTCTTTCAAATCACATAAAATAGTTATCTAATAAAAATGAAAACTATACGGCTTTGTTAACCTGTTAATCAAAGTACCTTACTTGTTTAGGGGACAATTCTTGATACCATTCTGGACCATTAGCTTCTTTTTTATTAATTTTTGAAACCAAATCTTTTGTATAAAAATAGAAACATGCTATTCTCAAATTATTTTAATTTAAGGGTTAATGTTTACTTTACCTAATTTTTTTTGTATACTATGATATTTTTTTAGGGCAAAACAATATTCTTTAGTTGCAGTTATGTGCTGGTTTCGACGTTCCCGTTCAATTTTTTCCTCAAAGTATTCGCGTTTATTAGAAACCATAACTGAATTATTAGTTTTCTAAAAAAAAATATCAATTATTATAATAAAAATTATGTTTCTATTTTTAACAAATGTATTTTCAAAGTATTTATGACAAGTACATATGTGACAAAAAATTTTGCGTTAAAGATGATAAGCCCTTTATATTAATATAATAATTAATATAGTTATACAATAATAATTTGTAGTAAAAATAAATTTTAATAAAACGCATATGAAAAATTCGTATAGAATAAAGTGGTATTGTCCTTATTACTTATGCTATTTACGGGTTAAGTTAAATTTGAAAATTCTTAAAATTTTACCTATTAGAGGCGTGTGGAAATTTAGTAAAATATGTGTTGATGATTTTTGTCCGTGTAAATTATTTTTATATACTATAAATTATAAGATAATATGTCACAGTGAGTGTGTATATATGTACGAGAGGTGTGTTCAGAAAAAAACGGGAATTTTCGATTTTTGAAAAAAATATTTATTTATTTGTCTATATTAATATTGTCACCTTCAAAAACGTCCCCATTAGATATTATTCACTTAAGCTAACGTTTCTTCCAATCCTCGAATAACTTCTTAAACTCGATCTTTGGGATAGCCTTCAGTTCATTCAGCGATGTGCTTTTAATGTCATCTATGCTTGTAAACGGCGTTGAACTTTTAGGTAGTACGCCTTATTAATCGTTTGACCTCATGGCAAGAATTCATGATCCACTATGCCATTAAAATCGAAGAACACAGTGAACATAACTTTCATGTTTGAAAGCTTTTCGAGCCTTTTTCGGTCTTGACGATCTAGAATGCCTCCACTGGGACGATTGAGCCTTAGCTTCGACGTCGAATCCATAAACCCATGTTTCGTCACCTATTATAGCACGTTTCAGTAATTCTGCATCGTCTTTGAATTCATTAAGTGACATTAAGTGACTCCTGAGCAACTTCCATTCGCCACTGTTTTGTTTAATATTCAACAATTTTGAAGCAAATTTTGTTGCTATGCGTTTCATACCTAAAACATTCCAAAAAATTTCACGGCATGAGCCAATCGATATTCCAACATAATTAGCGACTTCTTTTATTGTGATTTGGCGATCGTTCATTTCTTTCACTTTTTCCATGTTTTCACTGGTTGTTGATATGTCAGAGAGTTCGTCTTCTTTAACGTTTTCACAGCTATCTTGGAAACGCTTGTACTACTCGTAAACCCTTGTTTTACACATGACAGACTTTTCACACACTTTGTTACACTTTATTTCAGTTTTTACGTAAAATTTGATACAAATTCTTTGATTCGTTATTTTAACAAACAAAAATCGTTGAGCACATGAAAACACGTTTATCTTTAACAGATGCCATTGACAAAATAAAAAATGAAAAATTTATCATTTTTAGGGACATGTGTACTAACATTATGAAAACAAAAATTTGATAACCAGACTCTCCAACCCATTAAATTAAAATATTCCCGTTATTTTCTGAACACACCTCGTATATGATAAATGTATACCATATTTTTAATTTAGTCTCACGTTGTCTCCGTCAAACTGATTGTAACATTTATTATCCCTACCTAAGTTGTATAAATTGTGTTATAAAAATTATTATTGTGTATATTATGTTAATCTGTGGTGTATTAATAATAAATAACCCCATCACTAAAGGTATAATGAAATAATTATCTGTTTTTAAAAGAAAAAATATAAAAAAAATATTGAAGATTAGTAAAGTATGCCTGTAAATATTTAAAATAAATAAAAGAATGTATATATTTTATTAGAATATTTTTTGATGACCGTTAGGCTGTATTGCGCTTTCAAATATTTATCAGGTCGTATTTACCCAACGTTTATTGATACTATAAATATTGATACTTACCGACATTTTATAATATTTTGTTGAAGTTATAAACAAATATTGATTTATTTAATTAAACCAATTATAAGTGTAAGAGTTGACAAAGTTGTTTTAGTTAATATATTAAAAAACTCCATGGAAATGATGAGCGTGCATTATGATATTTAAACTGATTTCGATGCAGTTTACCAGATTTTTCGAATAAAAAAAATGTTTAAAGTATAAAAGTTTATTTCTAATTATTTAAAGAACTGTGTTAATTTATATTTATCATGTGTTATCTTACCAACCATATTTGTTTATACATAGTCATATGAACAATAGTACAATAAAATAAAATTTAAATGATCTTTGAATTGCACAAATAAAAACATCATGTAATATGAAAATTGAGTTTCTATAGAATCAATTGATTTACTAATTAAATAACGATCGATTAATTAATAATAACTAAATTAAAAAATAGTCGAATATAACAATTAAAAATATTAAATAAATAGATATACGTGTATGTATTTTGCATACACGTTATTATATATTATGTTGTGTTAACTATAAATGTATGTAAAATAACATTTTAAAAACTTTGTATCTTAAGTATTTTAGTTTAGAAATTTTTTTTCGTTTCGTTAAGTGTTGTAGTGATAAAATTGTTTTGTTCAACATGACCAATAAGACTTATGACTGTAAATATGTACATGAATACTACTACAAGTTGAGCAATGATCCAGATAGACTAATTGAATGCTATAATCATGAGTCAAGTTTCTTACACGGCAGCGTATATGATGGTCAGTTGAAGACTGTGTTAGGACGAGAAAATGTGCAGAGGCGTCTCGCCGAACTCGACTATAAGGATTGTGTGGTCACTATACAGTCATTAGGCAAACAGAAACTAAGCGGTGAACGGTTTATGTTCTATGTGTTTGGCAATATGATTCGAAAGAACTCGTCTAAAAGTAGTTTTTCACATTCACTGGTGTTATGGTTGAGCTTTGACAACGAATATATAATTATGAATGATGTGATGATAAGCTATTACTTCACACAGCACGATGATATAATTGAACGGCTCAATGACTACACTGAAAGTCGGTGGAAAAACGAACAATGGTTACGTTGTGGCGATGACGGTTTGTGCAACATCCGAGATGGTTGTTCTTGTAGTGAGGTAAATAGAAATAGTTATAGTATACGTTGTGGAGGACATGGTGTGAAATCACCATCGGCTTTACGAATATTTGGAGACTCTTGTCCGCCAACCAGCCACCAACTATATGTGTCCAATATTCCATCCGGCATTAAGTATAATGATCTAAAAAAGTTTTTTGAACAATTTGGTCCTCTGTTTAGTTTACGAATTATGAAGATTAATAAGAATTTTGGCTTTATAACATACGCTGACGAAAGATCAGCTAAAGAAGTACTTAACAACAGGCCTATATCATTTTCAGTTGAAGACGGTGTGTGGTTGACAGTCAAAGAAAAAAAGTCACGATCGGACAACTATAAGAAATTGAAAATTAACTTGCCCGAAAGCCATCAGCTATTTGTTGGCGATATTCCTGATAGCGTAACGGTAGAAGACCTACGATCATTTTTTGGAAGATTTGGCACTATAGTATGCGCTCGTATATTGCGTTATTCAAAAGCAGATGTTCCCCAAACGACTCATGGGTTTGTTACATTTCAAACTAGGGAGTCAGCCAATCGAGTTCTCAATATGGCTCCCTTATGGTATCCCGATGTTGGCGGTATTTTATTATACATTATGGAAAAACGTATTGTACCTAAAGTAACTATCGGATTTGAAAACATTAATAAAAGATCTAGAATACAACCCGGCGGTGATCACATTGATCACGACAACGAAATTATTGATGAAACTTTAATAATTAATTAATGTTATATATGATTTTAAAACTCATTAAAAACCAAAAATCTCATTTTATCTTTATTTATTTTGATTTTAAAAGACCTTAGGAATAATTTCGGTTTGAGTAAATAAAAATGTTTTGAATATAGTGAAAATTTTTAATTGAATAATGTAGGACGGTTTTTACCAAGAAATTGTATTTACTAAATTGTTTAAATCTAAAAACCACAAAATATAATAAATTTAAAATTTAAACTAACTTAATTTTAATTTCCACAAGGATCACGAGCTTTAAAACCCCGCGAACCATAGTTATCTTAGTAGGGTGGTAACGCGTATCACTGCTTTTAATCGGTCATGATAAATAAAAACATTGAAATACCACAAAACAACCATTTTGTGTCGAATAGTAAAGATGCGATGATAGCAGATACAGATTAGGAGTCTCAAGACCAACTGGGAACAATTACTGAAAGTTTCGAAGATTTTAAATTAAGCCTAAGAAACTTAGTCAGTATGAGAATATTATACAATTCAAGCAGAATATCTTCATTATAGTAAAGAGTCCAGTAGTGTATTGCTAAAAACCCTATCTAAGAGGCATACAATATCCTTATTATAAATAGCACTATTTTGCCGCATAGGCTGTTTTAAAAACCATACCAAAAAAAAAAAAAAAGGGGGGAATAANACCAAAAAAAAAAAAAAAAGGAGGGGAATAAAGCCTTGACGTACAGCTTAAAATAATAAATAGTTTTTGATTAAGGTAAAATTGCTAAAATAAATAAATAAATTATCATTAACACAAAAACAGCTTGTTTAGCTTAACAAATAGAACTGTTTAATTTAATACAAAAACTAACTAGAATAAATTTGCTATTAGTAAATAAATTGAATAATAAAGACTTAACTATATAAGCAATTGATAATAAATTATTGATGAAATCAGATTAATATATTACATCAAATGTCAACCGTGTACTAAACAAAACTAATATGCAAACTTATTAACTAAATATCTAACGATCTATTACTACAGGTTTGACATACTATGATTATATCAAAAATAACATGAATATATTGCAAACTTTAAAATAAGAATCTTTGGATGACAAAGTAAAGTTTTAATACTAAATTGGCATTATTCTTGATGATTGCACTACATAATTGGAAACAATCATGAACATTAGCTGATGTGAAATCTAAATAATTATAACTTAATAATGATAAACTTAATTAAAATTTATATAAAATTATTTAACACTTGTATAGTAACACAATTTTAAATATTTAAACCATAATGAATAAACTTATTGCCTTTAAGATATATCTTGCTTTTAACATTTTTAATTGAAAACCATGATACTTCTACAACTTAATTGTCGGCCGTAGAAATAGCATCCGAATAACTGATGGTGCGTGAGCACCATTACTTAGCCACACCGCTAATCATTAACAATACAAATCTTGCTCTTGGCACGAACAGCACTTATTTGAAACTATAATTATATGGTGATAAGATTAGAGGACTAAACTTAGGGGCTTTAAACTATTTTACAAACAATCAGACAAACTAATGCCTTGTATTTTGGTTAATGATAAAATAAAAACCAACTTGTTACATAATTTGTGAAGCGTAGATCTAACAACTATTATGGTAATATTTAGTGATAGTAAAACTATTATAGTAGCTTCAGGGTTCTTAACATATAAGTCTTTAGACCCAGGCAGAAACCTAATAGCGCTTCCTTAATTATTGTAATAAAGAAAAGTTAGAACCATCCTTGGTATGGATGAAAATGCTCACCATACTATATTGGTGAGCAGTAACATCAACCAAAGATGTGAGGCATTAATGAATCTGCTTTGGACTATAGACCTAAGTATATTGAATAGAGATAACGAGATTACTTTTATAATCAGGAACAGGCAAGAAGTTATTGATCTTATAGTTTTCTCAAAAGGGTTAGCCCAGAAAATAAAAAGGTGGAAAGTGTCCTTTAAATCTTCTCTTTCTGATCATACACTTTACTTTGGAAATAAACAAAGTTGAAACAGCGTATGATAGGAACTCTAAAAGATCAAACTTGGATAACTACAAGACAAACCTTTTATATGAGTTGGAAAATTTTCAGTATAGATAGGGTCGTAAAAAAGCACTGGAAGAACCGTAACTGACCTAAGTATCAGCATACAAAAAATATTCTTTGTTAGAAAAGAAAGGTATAGGACAGAAAGTATCTTAGTGGAACGCTAACCTGTCAAAATTAAGAAAGAGTTCTTGTAATCTCAGAAATCAGGCTTGGAGAAACATTGGGAGTCCTATAAAGACCTTCAAAGACAAACAAATCTGCATTGAAAAAGTTCAAAAGAGAGAACTGGAGATAGTTCTGTAGGGAATTACAACAACAACCTACAGGTACTAGACTTCTACGCTCACTAAGAAATAGATCGAAAAAAATCGTCGAAGCAATATCATTGCCAGACGATTCGTTCACAAACAATTATAACGATACATTATCACAGCTGTAGAACATACACTTTCCTAGTTATGGAATTTAAAATATTAGGATTACAAAAGATTAGGATGATAGTTTATACCTAAACCTAACTGTGCTAGCTACTATGAAACAATACCCTTAGACAAGACTATAAAGATACTTAATGATAGGTATATAAAAGAGGGACCTTTGAAAGAAAACCTTCTACATAAGAACCATTATGCGTACCAAAAAAATAAACTTTACATAACTTTACCATTAAAGTAGGAAAAGCTGTAGAGAGTAAAATAGATGCAATAGGAATATTTCTGGACATTGAAGGGACTTTTAATACCCTTTTAGTTACACCCTTTAATGTTTTTGTCAATCTGTACAAGAAAATGGACTAGAACCACTTATTAAGTGGATAGACAACATGCTTAAGAAACGTTCCCTTTTAGGACAGCACATTGAAACAAAAGTAATTAAGAGTGTTAAACAGGGATACTCATAAGGAGGAGTTCTTTCTACCTTGTTATAATGTCTAGTTTTGGGCTCACTTATTAAAAAGTTAAAGAAATATTGTTATACACATTCCTATGTAGATGACTTGGCTATAATAATGGAGGATAAATTCCTAGACACAATTATAGACTTAGTACACTATATACATGTGATATAGTGAGTACAGCCTAGCTGTTAAACAAAGCAGAGGTAGTAATGTTTACCAATAGTAGAACAGGACTTAATAGTCTTGGTACACTTAAACTGATTGGTAAAGAAATTAGCTTTAATCAAATGATATACTCATGTATTTATCTAATTACATATTTATGGAAATCACATATTGAGGAAAAAGCCATGGTTATATTGTGGACATTTGGCTAAACTTTGGGAATGACCTGTGGGATCTTAACCAAGAAGTATGTATTGTTTATACACTTCAGTGAGAACAACACCTGTTACAGCTATAAAAGAACTTAAATGTATTCAAAGAATGGCTACTATAGCCATTACTGGAGCGATAAGATCCAGACTTAAAGCAGTAATCGAACTACCTCATTTAAATCTCGAGGTTAAAGCTCATGTCAAATCTATAACACTAAGACTTTACAACTCAGGTATGTGGGCTATAGATAGCGACACCGTGGGACATAGTAAAATACTAAAAAAGATAAACCAGTATATACTGGAATATCTTTAGGATTATATCAAACCTGTTCTCCAAAATAACACCACCTACAAATTTGAGATCTTAAATGTAGGAAATATAATATAAACCACCTGAATAGAACAGGAGGTTTGTAATTTATACAGATAGCTCCAAGAAATCAGGAAAGTAAGGTACTGTCATTTGAGGATTAAAACCTAGCATAAATGTCAGCATGTCACAATAAAGCATGTCAGCATTGGACACAATACCCTATGTGTTCCAAACAGAGGCAATGAAAATAATAGTAGGGATACAGAACCTGCTTCATGAAGAAAGCGAACCAAAGGGACCCATGAGCTTAAAGGGCCCATCATAAATTTTACTAGCCTGTCATGATAAATGACATAAGGTTTTTCTAATTTTTTTTTTTTTTTGCTTATCCTATTGGTCTTAAACTAATCATAAAAAATATTGACAGTTCTAGCTTTGATGAGTGGCTAAGAAATTATTGGTTTTACTGTGTTTTTTTTGTGATCATATATGCATTTCCTCCACTCCTATTAGACCGTAATACTAACCAATTAATTTATTTGAATATTTAATTTATATATGAATTTGCCTCGCTGACGACATATTTTTTTTAATTAAATCATTAACTAAAGTACTGTTGGGTGTTTAAAAATTGTAACAAAATTTTTTCTATTCAATTTCTGATAATGTTTCAAAAAACCTTATTTTTTTAAACTTACATTAAGTTAAAGTTAATATAATGTACTTTATGATGAAAAAATAAAAATAATCGAAATTTTGATTTCTAGGAATTATTGGAAATTAAAGTAAAAAATCATACAATTTTCGGTAAACTTGAAATGTTTTCTATAGGAGTCTACATTAGTCATAACTAAATCAAATTTCAGGTTTTTTATCTACTGTAGCGTTATAAAACTGTTTATAATTTTTAAAATAATTTTGATAAATAATAATAATTTGTAATAATTTTTATAATACGTATGAGAAGAAACGAATACTTTTTTCATACCTATTAAATACGCATCAAAGCGCTTTATGGCAATGATTTTAATCACTTATTAACTAATCAATATTTTTTTTAAAAAACGACTTAACTATACTTTCAGAAATCCCTACTGTACTTACTTTATTATTAATTAGCACGATCAATGACAGAAGAAGGAAAAAGAGCCAACACTGATATAACGGCAATTTCAAATCGATAACGGCCAGTTTTTTTGGGAGGGATCAATATCGATAAACAATTCGATTTTAAAATATATTTATTCTCTTTTGTCGATTTATCTAGCGGTCAGCGGCAAAAATAATGAGTTGTTAACACCGCTGTGGCAGAAAAAGATTCATGCGCACATTTTCTTGTACGATAAAATAAATAAGAAGACATAACAAATTTTAAAACGGTCATGGGCGATCGGCAAAAATTTTCTGACCTTCGCCAATAATTTTTCCGGTATCTTGTAGCCGAGTACTTTGGTGAAAAAAAATTTTGAAAATCTGAGCGTGTTCGGAATTTTTCCATAAAAGCGTTTTTTTCTTTGTTCTATAATATAATATTATAATCTTGCTCACATTAACCTGTTCAGTTTTTCTAAATCATTTTGATATAATTAATGTATGTAATTCTAAAGATAAAAAAAAATTAGAATAATTTGGCATGGCAACTGTTGATTGTTTGATACTACAAAAAAATTAATTAAATGTTTATTAATGTATTTAAAGCATATTTTATAAAATTTACCGAAATTACAATGAGCAATTCAATTAATGGAGCGGAAAGTGTAACTTCATTAAAACAATTTTTAAATTTTACATTTTTAGATGTGGGTGTTACTATAATTGCATTTTATTATTCAGTGAGTTATATGATTTTATATGAGTAAATGATAATATATATCATTGGTATGAATTTGTAATTTATTTTTGTAAACTTAGAAAAATATCTTATAAAATATAACATTTAATAAATTTAATTAATAAAAAAAACACATTTATTTTTCTTTAATTGTAATATTTATGATTTGCTAAATTTTTTTGTAAAATTTAAGCCTGATGTTTGATTTATTTATAGATAGGAGCTGTAGCATCAATAATGGCTAATATAACATTACTAGATCCTAAAATGCCAAGTAAGTGCCTATTAAAAATCATGCAATTATTTCATAAATATGTTCCAGTTATTAATAATTACAAGTTAACATGATCATTAAATAAACATTTTTCATAGCATACTTTAATAACATACACTTGAATTTTTGAATCAAGTTTTTATGAAAAAATAATTAGATTAAGAGAATGTTCACATTGATTACATATTTTACAATTATAAATTATACATCTTTATAAATATGAGTTAAATCGTTCTGATATATTAATGAAATAATTATAATTGTAATGTACAATAAAAGAAAAATATTCATTTAATAGTTGAGTTTATTCAATCCTGTTTTGAAAGTTCGTTACAGAGTTGTGCATTTATAACTCAATTTTTTTAATATTTAGTAATTTGAATAATCAATTTTATTAATAAAAAAAAATTATCTATTTTTTAGTAAACTGATGTTTTTTCTAACTTGCAGTCAGTTGTGTTTTGATATTGACTTTAAACACATACATTATTGTGATATGGTTTACTGCCTATAGTGGCGCTTCTCTTGTGAGTTAAACTATTAATAAACTTTTTATAAATTACTTTATACGTAATTGTCTAAATATAACAATTAATTTCACAATAAGTTTCAAACAATAATTGTGTACTTATTTTAATACACTTAGTAGTCCATATTTAATGTTATTCATAATAATTTTTAATATAAAATTGAAACTTCAAGTTAATGAAAACATTCATGAATTTTTATTACATAATAGGTGTTAAAAAAAGAACATTGGGACTATTGAAAGTGATTTTTTAATCGAATAAATAATCAAAATTATTGACCCATTATCTTTTCTTCAAAATAAAACAATAAATTAACTTTTGATATTTTACTGTTTTATATTGAACTGAAATTCATTATTTTATATAGGAAAGCGAATTAAAAATAAAATTAGCCTTACTACTATGGTCTGTGTTTATTGGTATATGGGTCTTTTGTGTGGCGTTTACTTTTTTGAAACTTGAAACTCGGTGAGAAATATTTAGCTATTTTAGTTATTTGAAATATCAATAATTTAATTTAGACTATTGTGTTTGGACCATCGATGTCCTGAAACATTATGGGTGTATAATAATACATATTATAAAATGATTGTTCCTAAACCTGTAATCAAACCACCAATAACGACACCAAATCCTCTTATACCTCTAAGAGATGGCCAAGAAGAAAAAAAATACATTTCTCAAAAATGTCGGTAAGATTTCATTAAAAATTATTTTTTATGTACATACATTTTATGGTAATTTAGTAAATGTAAAAATGTGTTTTTGTTTTCTAAATATGTTTTGTTTTGTTGATTAAATTAAAAAAAAAAAGTTTTTTTTCATTTTAATAAAAATTTTTAAATATTTAGGAATCCGAGGTCATCTTATTCAAAAAATTATACTGAATTAATGATACATAACAAGAATCTCAATTATTTCATAGAGTTGGTAGATTCAAAAAATGATGTACCTTCTACAATAGGAGGTACCTCACAGCTGAATAGAACGATGGATAATGAAGAAGAGCTAATTTTTGATTTTTGGTCTAATAATACAACTGGGTTCCTTATTTCAGTTCTCATGATAATGAAAAATTTGAGTAAGCTCTTAATAAAAATATGTTAATAACATTAAAATTTAAATATTATTTAAATTATTATAATTCTTTACGACACTATGAATTTTCTTTAGTGATTCAAAAAAAGTATTCACTTACAAAATTTGTTACAACGAATTCAGTTTTTTTTATTTCTTTTAAACAAATTAACAGTGTTATTAAGGGATTAATAAAAATTATTTTTGATATGCTTTTTAAATGTATATTATTAGATATATTATACATATATGCATATTACATGATTAGTGATGGAAACAACGTATTCATATTATCTTAAATGAATATGAATACATAACAATTTTTAGAAATGAACTTAAACGCGAGTTAATTGTTTATTTTTTATATAATTAAGTATTTTAAATTCGTTTAATGAAATAAAATTTTTTTATTAAAATCGTCTAGCTTCTACAATTTGAATTGTAAATAAAAATATCTACAGAGTGTTATTAAATTAAACGTCACGAGTAGTAGGATGATATTCAGTAGGACTTAAAAATAACGAAACCAAAAACTAAAATGTCTCCAAAATTGGGGTTTTTCTGGTTCCCCATTTCATATTTTATTTTAATCAAAAATAAATATCACCACCGTATTTCCTACAAAATTCTCATACAAATTGAGCGGCCACTCGATTTTTTGTAACTTTCGCGCCCTCCCCTAAACTTCGGGTTCAAAGTTGGAAAAAAATTTTACTTTAGTGTAACGCATCAATTTGTAATGAAATTTCATTAAAATTGTTATAAAATTATAATTTTTTTTCTTTTTAAGTCATTTCAATCTTGTGATTGTTTTATTTTCCCGACTTGATAAAAATAATAATCGGTTTGAATAAATAATAAAAGACGAAATAAACTCGTAAAATTAAAAAAATATTACATTATGTGTGGGTTTTTCTCGTTATGTAATCGTTTAAACTAAAAATAAACTACATCACAGGACTCTCAGCAAAATTTCATTACAAATTTATAGCCTGACGAATGGATACAGAAGGTTTTATAGTGGAAAAACACATCATGATGCATATCACTATAGTTATATCAGTTAATACCAGTTAAATTATAGTTAGTTGGTATTAAACTAACGTTCTGACTTATTTGAATCCAACATCCGAAACGTATAGGAACCACAAGAAAAAAAGAAACTTTATTCAGTTAATTTTTAAAAAGAACTTCCCTATTATTGTATATGTTACATATATCTTTGATCCTTTATTTGATTACCTATAGATAACAGCATGTAACATAAAATATTTTATAAATAAATTATCCACATCTAATGATGTTAATGACTGCTGGATTTCAATCTATACTAGTGCCTACTATACTTAGTGCCTAATTCTCTGGGTTTTTTAAAAGTAATATCAATGGAGTTCATTATTTGGGTGGTGAGTAAATTTTATTTTTGAATTTACAAAAAATAAATATGGAATTAATAAAAAATATACAATTGATTAATATATAAATAAAAAAATGTATGCATGACTTTTTTTGAATATGTAATTTTTTTTGATTGTGCACAGTTATAATGATTTACTCTTGGTTAATCTTGTATGGATATTACATGGAATTATTGTCAAGAAAAAGTGAAACTCCAGAAGTTCAAGAAAGTTTTAAAAATGAATCTTGTAATGAGGTGGATGATCCTAATAAACAGTGTATTATACAATAAAAAAAATAACATTAATAAAAATAAATAAATCTTTAGCCTTACTAATCATGTTAAAATATTTCGAAGATTTTCAATTAGAGTTTATTATAAATGTTAAGTTAAATAAAAATAATTTTTTAAATTTTCTAATGTTGCATCTAAACAGTTATACCCAGTGGTGTATTAACGAGGGAGGAAGTTGACCTACAACTTCATACCACACCGATTTTTCTGCTTATAAAAATTTTTGATTTATGTTCGAATTTATTTATGAACGATATCATTATCCCCGACATTTTTATTTTTCTCACAATATCGATTATTTTTGAAATATCAAAAAACAATTTTTAATAAAAAAAACGGTTTGAATTTTGGTCATTTTGCTATAAAATATACATTATTTGATATTAGACTAAAAGAAGTTCATGATAATGGTGTTAATATTTATTGTATTAAAATATATTATGAAATATAGAATTGAGATAAGATGAAAAATTATATATATTGATATAGAATTATATTCTTAGAGTAGGTTTTTTTAACAAAATACAAACAAAGTAATGTATAAGGAGACTTAGTGAAAGAAATTTCAGATTTAGAAAATTTATAGCAACAACTGGTTGAAACTTAATCTGAAAAGTAAAATGAATTTATTGAGCCCCCAAAAAAATTTCTATTAGATAAGTGATAAAGATAATGATGCTTTATTCTGTAAAAGTTTAAATTTTTTTAGATTATTTTATTACTAAGCTTTGTCTAGCTTAAGCCCTACGAGACCTACGCGCTAAAGGCGCGTAATTTTCTTTGGGCCACTTATTCTGGTAGGAGTACCCTGCTAAATTGGACACGATACGTGTTTTGCAGGAAAAATATTACATAAAAATCAGTGTAACAAAAATATATTAAAAATTTTATTATTAAAACAGGAAAATTCAAAAAGAGAATAATATAAAATGTATTGGGCATAATGTTGACGTTTGTTAATGAGGTATTCTCTTTGGGCATATTCAGAAATTATTTTAGGATGGTATTTATTTTTTTTCTCTGTTAAATATGCTATAGAATTTTTTTTTGTTAAAAATCAAAGTGATGATCAAAAAAAAGGTCAGTAGGCAGATTCTTATTTCTTTGAAGTTGCCTAAAAAAATATTGATAGCGTTGGTTTAAGGGGTGCTATCGCACATATCTCCCTTAAATACACCCCTGGTATACACAATATTCATTAATATTTTAATTATAATAATTGTATATATATAATAGAATAATTCAAAAAAAATTCGGCAGTATACATTACGTGGGACTATGTAGATAATTTAATTTTGATAAAAATATTTGTTACTGAGAATTGACTTCGAACAGCATAGTTGTCATAGATGGATCTCAATTTTTACGATAACTCATAAACTTATATATCATATATGAGATAAATGAGATTATTAATACTGTACTATTCTGATAATAAATGTACAAATTTATATACTTACAATCATCCTGAAATTTAGTAAAAAAGCGAAAAAAGTACAATTGAGCAGTAAGCTAATTCTAAAGTAAAACTTCAAACAAAAGATATATATATATATATATACCCCGGCGTAGGGAAAGTGGCGCATCCATCGCCCAGCACACCAAAAGTATGCTTCAATAGCCACACACTGACTTTAACTAGTTGGTGTGGACTGGCTCTCCAGGTTGGGGATTGAACGTAGGGTTGACAACCCTACCTCTTAAAAAAAAGATGATGTTAAGAAACAACAACAACTTAAGCCTCGGATCAAAGATTTAACGGACATAAACATTGGAACTTGGAACGTGCGTTCTCTGTATAGGGCTGGAGCTTTGACAACATCCCTATCGTGCCTTGAACGATATGGGATGGATATTACCGCGATTCAAGAAGTGAGATGGACAAGCTCAGGAAGCTTGAAAGCTCAATGAAAGACATTATTATACAGTGGCGGAGACAAACATAAATGTGGGGTAAGTTTTGTAATAAGGGATAGCATTGTGCCAAATATAGTGAGGTTCAAACCAATAAGCGATTGGCTATGCTACATAGAACTCAAATGCAAATGGTACAACATGTTCCTGATCAACTATAATGATAAAAGACAGATGATAAAAGTGATGACATAAAAAATAAATTCTATGAGGATTTAGAATTGGTGTGTGACACCCTACCAAATGATAAACCGAAAATAGTATTAGGGGACTTCAATGCGAAGATTGGAAAGGAGAACATATATAAACCAACAATTGGATCCGAAAGTCTACATGGAATTACGAATGACAAGGGAAACAAATTAATCACGTTCGCAACAGCTAGAAATAAGATAATAAGTAACACGTACTTTCCTCACAAGAATATACACAAACAAACATGGATCTCCCCATGTGGATTAGTAAGAAACCAAATAGATCACATGTTAGTGGGCAACCGGATAAAATCATGCGTCAATGATATAAGAAGTATGCAAGGAAGTAGTGCGATGTCAGATCATTTCCTGGTAAAAGCGAAAATCGCTCTTAGAATATCAACAAAATGGAGGAAGAAGGATAAGTACAAAGAAAAACTTTACCAACTGTAATGAAGAAAAATGACGGATCGTTATTAACAGAGAGCAAGGAAATTGCATGTGAATTTAAAGATATATTCGAAAAATTGTTGAATCAACCAAATGAAAATATTACTGCACTTGAATACATTACTGTAGAACAGCTGTTTGAAAACCCATCAGAAGAAGAAGTGAGGATAGGACTAGATATGCTAAAAAATAAAAAAGCACCGGGAGATGATGAAATAGTATCAGAATGCCTAAAAAAGGGAGGCCAAGGCTTGCTAAGCCAACTCCACAAACTTAAGAACACAATCTGGATACATGAGGAGATATCCGAAGCATGGCGTATATCCATTATATGCCCTATACACAAAATAGGAGACATCATGGAGATTGAAAATTATAGAGGGATCTCACTACTCAATACAACATATAAACTACTGTCTAACATACTACTGATCAGAATCAACCCTTATATCAAAGAAATAATTGGAGAATACTAAGCTGGTTTTATGAAAGGGAAATCAACAATAGATCAAATACACATAGTAAAACAAGCTGTTGAGAAGAGTCATGAATTCGATAAAGATATACATCTACTGTTTATTGACATCAAACCAGCGTACGACTCAATAAACAGAGACAAATTATGGGAAGTCATGGGCCAGTTAGGTATACCAGCCAAGTTAACCAGACTAATAAAAGCGTGTTCATATAATTCAAAAATTAAAATCAGTTTTGGAGAAGATATATCGGGAGAGTTCCCTGTAACGATTGGTCTCAGACAAGGTGATGCTTTATCACCTACACTGTTCAACATCGCCCCAGAATCAGTCATAAGAACAGTAATGTCCCAAGCCAAGGGCATAGAAATAAAATACAATCAGCATCTAACAGTAGTTGCTTATGCGGATGATATAATCTTATTAGCCGAAATAGAGGACGACCTAAAAAACACAGCGGATATCTTAATGGAGGAGGGGAAAAAGATTGGCTTAAGAATTAATGAGACAAAGACAAAATACATGATAGTGTCTAGACAAAGTCACAGAACAGACTCCTTAAAAGTAAATGATCACATTTTTGAAAGGGTAAGAAATTATAAATATTTAGGTGCAGATATCAATGATAACGCGAATAGCCACGAGGAAGTTAAAGACGGCTCATCGCAGCAAACAGGTGTTACTATGGACTGATGCCATTGTTCAAGTCTACTATTATCAAGAAAATCCAAAGTAATCTTATATAAAGTTTTGGTTAAACCAGTAGCTTTATACGCAAGCAATACCTGGGGACAAAAAAAGCTGATAAAAAAAGGTAGAAGTATTTGAGAGAAAGGTGTTGAGGAAGATATTTGGCCCAGAGAGAAACAATGAAGGAGAATATGAAATAAGAAGCAATAAAAACTTGGAAGAACTATATAATGAATCTAGCATTGTTGGGGCCTTGAAAAGTGTGCGAATAGGATGGGCCGGTCATGTATGGAGATCGGAAGGACTAATTGGATAAGTAAACGCTTGGAAACCAAATTACAAAGAGACCCAGACAAAGATTGACAGGTAGAATAAAAGAAGACTTGAAGATGTTGGGAGTAAGAAATTCGGAAGAAACGGCAAAAGATAGAGGAGAGTGGGGGCAGGTGGTTCTTGCGGCAATGGACCTGAAAGGCCTGTAAAAAGCCAAAAGAAGAAGAAGAAAAAAAAATATACATATATATATATATCAATAAACATGATTAAATATATCAAAAAATTTGTATTATAAACATATTTAAATGAAATCAATAGACAGTATCTTAATAAAAGTATACTTAATAAACTAAACATAATATATAAAAATAACAAACATAATATAAAAAAAAAAAACTAACAATTAATTAATTAACTAACAATCAATTCATATATGACAACAATAACAAAATAATAATGAATTAAATAGAAAATTGAATCGTCCAAAAATTCATACTTTACAAATTAACGGTCACAATAAACATATGTGCAGAAATAAGTCAATGCTCTTATTGACACCATGCGCGTGGATATACACCCTGGTGTCTCAAGCGTGTGAAAAGAAAAAGCTCATAAAACGGTGAAAAATGATCAGATTGAATGTCCTTTAGTATGATATATTAGAAATATCATCGAATGGGTCTGATGAAAATTTCAATCCTGAAGTCGTAAAATGCTGGAATCAGCGAGCGTTTTTCTGGATAACGGTAGAAATTTTAAAATGCTCGCGGGTGATTGGCAAAAATTTTCCGACCTTCCCTATTTTTCCGGTATCTTTTAACCGAATACTTTGGTGAAAAAAAATTTTGAAAATCTAAGCACGCTAAGTATTAGTATGTTCGGAATTTTACTATAAAAGCGTTGTTTTCCTTGTTCTATTATATAATAAGATTAAATATATATTTTATAAAGTAAAATTTCATTTATTTTATATAACCAATAATGATATAGATTTGTAACAAAAAAAATACTTATTTCTTTATAATAAAAAGTAACTTAGTAATAAAAAACCCAGCGGCTCAGTGGTGACGTGGCATAGTTGGATTAAGTATAATGATATTTGACAGTGAATAAAACCACTATCATAAAAAACGTTTTGATGCAAATCTTTACATAGTGTTTAATTTTAAAAAATTGGCGGATTATTCCAAAAGCTATATGATCAGCTATTTCCTAATTTATATCCTGATTAAGATGATGTATGTCGAATGAAAAAGGGAT